CAGCCGCCTCGCTCCCATCCCAGGAGAGCTCTCAGTGAGCTCCCGTTCTGCTCCTCACGACAAAACCCTTCTCCCACCTGGAAGCCGCCCCTGCACAACCTCCTCTCTCCAAGCAAATGACATCAGGGACTGCTGGCAGCCCAGCCAGGGCCAGGCACCGTCCCCACGTTCCCTGATGTCACCTGCTGGCACTGGCGGGGCTGACGCCGCTTCCCCGGCACGCAGCTGCTCTCCTGGCTCTTTGGGGTGGAATGGCTTTTTCCTTTGTCCCCCTTAGCTGTACCCGGTCCCCTGGCTGCCATGGGGCTGGCTGTGGGACAGGAGCCCTGGGGCAGGCTGATCCCCAAGGAATGGTGCTCCTTAGCAGCACTGAAGAGGCTTTTCAGGAAATGGCGATAAAACCAGCTGGAATAATCCCTACAAGTAAAAGGGCTGGGTGGGAGGTGGTCCCAGGTGCTGGGTGGGGAGGTGCTGAGCTGGGGGGGTTGGTGTACCCAGCTCCAGCCAGAGGCTGGGCCAAGGTACAGAGAAAAGGTACCCGAACGCTCCCTGGGAAACAATTCCAAGAGTTTGGGGGAAAAGGGAGAGCTCACACCACAGCCTGGCTCCACTGACCACCTGGGGCTGCAGGGAGACACGTCCATGGGTCAGTAACAGTTCCAGCAACTGCAAGAACAGCTCTGAGACAGTTTAGAAAACATAAAAATCAATGAGTATTTATTTTACCCGTGAGTCCAGACCCTGCTGGGCCAGGGACACAGTCCCTGATGTTCTTAGGCTCGTGAAGTTTTGGCACACAGGGATTCAGCTGTGACCAAACTGAACCGTGCTGGAGGAACAACTCCAAACCCATCACCCATCCCACACCTGAGACTCCTGGAGCACCTTTCCTGTGGCCTCACCTGACACCAAACTCCCACCAAGAGCAGGCTCTGAACTGGCAGCAGCCTTTCAGATGGCCCCAACCACCATGGCAGAGGGAAAGCAGCAGCACAGCTGTGGGGTGTGGGGCAGGAGATGGGGAATTTCTGCTGAACTGAAGGTGCCTGTGGTCTCCAGGRAAGGAAAACAGTGGCTGAGCCCACCCACACCAGCACCATCCTGATGTAAGGACACAGCACACACTTCAYCCTCCTCWGCAAGYACARCCCYGATGTGAGAGCAGCTTCCTCTGCTGAGGGACAGCACACAGCAACCACACCATCCCCCGAGGTCAAATACAGCATGATTCATCCCTCAAAGAATTGCTTTTTGCCCATTTCCTGTGTTTCTTTGGGAATTTTTAAGCAGGTTCCTTGGAGGCTGACAGGCCCAGCTCAGGGAATGCTGGCACCCTGTCAGAGCTCTCCTGCCTCAGCAGCAATTTTGTCACTTTGGTCTCCTAAAAACTTCCGATTGAGTGAAGCTGCATCTTGGTCTCCATCCTCTTGAACAATCAGGCTATTCCTCCTTCCCAAAAGGATGAACTCCAAAAGGGATCACTACACTCAACACAGTCTTGGCAAATGTAGGATTTAGGACCGAAGATCCTAAAGATCCCGAAGAGCACCTGGCCATGCTCAAAACGGTGTGTTTCACCCCCCTCCCACCCTTTATTCACTGAATAAAGCCCCAGATTTGCTCCCAGCGCTCCCTGCTCCTCCTCAGTCATACTGCAGCAGTGAGTAGAACGGGATGGAATTGAGCTTTCCCGACCCTTTCAGGCCTTTCAGCTCTATGACCACCAGGCACTCCAGGATTTCAGCCTTCAGCCTCTTCAGCAGCTCACAGGCTGCAGCCATGGTACCTGTGCAGGGGAGCAGAAACATCCTCACTCTGGGGGCAGCGTCCAGCCCCACAGCTTCCCTTGCTGCTGATAAACAGACACCAGAGAGGTGTGGATACCCCTGGAAGAGCCCAAGGTCAGGCTGGACAGGGCTGGGAGCACCCTGGGATGGTGGGAGCTGTGAATGGGGCTGATGTGATTTATCCAATCCCACCCACGATTCCATGAACCCAGCTGTGCATGGGTCACACGTGCTTCCCTCACCTCCAGTTGCCAGCAGGTCATCCACAATGACCACCTTCTGCCCCGGCTCCACAGCGTCCTTCTGCATTTCCAGCTCGGCCTGCAGGGAGCAAAGAGCAGCTTTCTTTTAGTCTGGCCTCGGAGAGAAACCCCTCAGGAGCTGCTGGCTCATGCTGGAACACGGGCAAGTCCTCAGCGACATCAGCCTGAACACTCAGCACCTAAAACCCCAAAAACCCCACAAATTCCAGCTACGGGGGAGCGCCACAGAAACAGAGCAGGGAGGGGACTGCTGGGCCAACCCTCTGGCACGCCAGGATCCTGAACTTCCACCATGTGAGTTCTGGTGGAATCTTATCCCAGAGCAGCTCTCCAGTGAGGGAATTGTCACGCACTGGGGAGCTCTGCCCAGAGCCAGATCCATACTGGCACCTGATGTGTCACGCAAGCTCGTCCCATGCTGGGGTTGGCCCAAACAATCCCCACGGCTTAGGCCTGGCTTTGGGGGTCCTGCTGCTGTTAGTCATGAGCGGGAGTGGCAGAGTTTGAGGCTCAGGCCACGGGGTTACAGGGCAGGAGGTGGGGAAGCCATGCAGGGAGGCTGTGACTTACAGCACTTACTGCCAGAGTGGGGAACACTCTCCGTGGTCATGCCCCTGAATTCAAGCCAAAGAAAGCCATTTAGCACCAAATCTGAGCACGAGCCCCTCAAAAAAACACAGCACAGCACCGACCAGCACCCACGGGCACAAATGGAGTGTCCATGGCTCGGGGCCGGAGCCGCCTCAGTGCCATTCCCAACGGCTGTGCTGTGCCAGGTTATCCACGGCATCAGAACCCGGTTTGGGACCCCCTCCCCGCTGGTTTTAGCAGCCCTGCCCCCCCAGCCCTGGCCCCTGCTCCGCCCAGGTGTCACCTTGCCATATTCCAGGGTGTAGCAGACGGACTCGGTGGGACCGGGCAGTTTCCCCTTTTTCCGTACAGGCACGAAGCCGATGCCCAACCTCTGTGCCAGAGGGGGCCCGATGAGGAACCCACGGGAGTCCAGGCCTGGGGGGCAGAGCAGCCATCAGGGATCATCCAGGCTGGAAAAGGCTCCAAGAGCATCCAACCCAACCATTCCCAGCACGGTCCAGGCCACCACTGAGCCATGTCCCCAGGTGCCACATCCACACATTTTCTGGAATGGTGACTCCACCACTGCTCTGGGCAGACTGTTCCCATATCTGACCACCCTCTCAGTGAATTGATTTTCCTCACATCCAACCTATCTCTCCCTGGTGCAACTTGAGGCCTTTTCCTCTCATCCCATCACTCAGATTAGAGCCATTTCACTGGAAGAGGGTCTTGGCATGACCCCCCCCCATTTTATCCTTCCATTCAGGGGAGGGGTCTAAAAGCAATTTGCTCTTAAACTCACTTCTGAGGGCTGAAAGCACAGCCCAGACTCCTGTTTGCACCCAGCCAGGCCCCAGCAGCCCATTTCCCTCCCCCGAGGCCCTTTTCCTTAGAGATAAACCCCACAGAGCCCCGGTATCAGCTCAACCACACAAGTGGGACCTTGGACCTCTGGGCACAGACTTCACTTATCACAGGACTGCTGGCCCAGGTTTGGTCAGTGCTCCTTGAACCCTGGGCTGAAGCCCAGCCCAAGCACTGCCTTGCTCAGCCCAGTGCCAGGTGAGCTCCTCCAGGGCTCTTTGTGCTGAGGAAAAGGAACTGGGACAGGGTCAGTCTGCCCCAGGGACCCGACAGGACCTCGCAGGCACAGCAGGGTGTGCTTGGTGTGCTCCTTCTCTTTAACAGTGAATTATTTAATTGGCACTGAGCACAGAAGGCACCTGCCACATCCCAAACCAGAATTTCAGGAAATCACAGCAGGAGGTGAAGGGTAATAAACCATGCTGGAGTTACCACATGACAGAGGCCAATATTCAGGTGATTTCTGTGTCCAAGGGCTACAGCATTTCAGAAGGGTCACCCCGCACTTCCCACCCGGGATGCACTGCTCTGCCCCAGCCTCAGGGATGTCCAACCAGCACTCACCCGCAATGAAGTCGATTTTGGGGAAAGATGACCTCAAATGATCCTCCAGAAGATCAATCAAAGTCCTGAAGGCCACAGGATCCTTCAGCAAGGGGCTGATATCGCTGCAATGAGAGCAGGGAGTGAAACCTCCGGGGGCTGCTCTGGAAACGCTGAGCTCCTGAGCCCAGGGCAGGCTCCTGCCTGGTGCTGCCAGGGCCAGGGATGGGCACTGGGGAGAGGAGCTGCCAGCGAGCCCCGGACCTGAACAGCCCCGGTTTTATTCCTGGTCCTGGCTCCAATCTCGATCCTGGTTCCCTCCCCGACCCCATTCCCGGCCCCGGTCCCGGTCCCATCCCTATCGCTATCCCCGTTCCCATTCCCATCCTCATCCCCGGTTCCGTTTCCGGCCCCATCCCAGTCCTCGTCCCGGTCCCATTCCCGGTCTATTCCTGTCCCCGTCCCCATCCCCGGTTCCATTCTCATCCCCGTCCCCATCCCCGGTTCCATTCTCATCCCCGTCCCCATCCCCATCCTGTTCCCGTCCCCGTCCTATCCCCGGTCTGGCCCCGTCCCCGTCCCATCGCGGTCCCGGTCCCATCCCCATCCCGGTCCCCGTTCCCGTCCCCATCCCGGCCGTACCGGAACAGCACGCCGGGCTCCGGGAAGTCCGGGAAGGGCCGGACGCGGTCGCGGACCCTGCGCAGCTTCTCGTCGCTCATGGCGGCCCCGCCGTGCGCAGCCGCCGCAGCTCCGGCACGGCCGAGCGGGCGGAGCGGGGCGGGGGAAGCGGCTCCGCCTGCTCCGGGGCGGCCCCGCCAAGCGGCGGGCACGGGAGAGCGCCGGGAGTAAATCCTGGGCACCCCGGTGCGTGGAGCTCCGGTATCCTGGAGCATCTGTGCCCCCGGTGCGTGGAGCTCCGGTATCCTGGAGCATCAGCGCCCTCGGTGCGTGGAGCTCCGGTATCCTGGAGCATCAGCGTGGAGCTCCGGTATCCTGGAGCATCAGTGCTCCGGGTGCGTGGAGCTCCGGTATCCTGGAGCATCAGCGTGGAGCTCCGGTATCCTGGAGCATCACTGTTCCCGGTGCGTGGAGCTCCGGTATCCCGGGGCGTGGAGCCCCAGTTCCCCCGGTATTTAGGGCTCCAATATCCTGGAGCGTGGAGCATCAGCCCACGGGCACACGGGGCTGTGGTATCCCCATGCACAGAATCCCGACTTACCAGTGCAGCCATGGAGTACGTGGAGATATCCCAGAACTTCAACCCCCTCAGGGTACCCCAGGACATTAGGCATCGGTACCCCCGGGATGTGGAGCTCTGACTCCCTGGGGCTTGGAGCTCTGATGCCCCATGCATGGAGCCCAGGTTCCCTCGTGCATGGAGCTCTGATTTCCCGGTGCATGGAGCTGCAATCCCCAGGCACTGCTTGGATGGAAACCCAGGTTCTGCTCTGCAGAGCTCGATTTCCCCGGGGCACAAAGCCCCGGGATCCTCCCTGGCCCCGGCCCCAGAAAGGAACCCCAAGCCTGAAGGTTCCACTTCCACCCCCTCCCCTGCCCAGCCTTCCACAGACTGCAAGCTCCTCGGGGCTTTACTATTTCCTGCTTTTCCACCCCTCATCACCTCATGTGAACTCCTGGAATCACTCTGTGCTTGTTAAAAGTGTTGGTTGGGATGACTGACACCCAAGAGGGACAAAAACACAGCCCTGGGTCCTGCACCAAGAGCTCCCGGTGTCACCTGGGCAGGACAGGGAGCTCCTACAGCTCCCATTTCCCCATGTGAGTGTCATCTGGCCATGCAAAATCCACTGAGTTCAGATCTCCTCTTCCATTAGCAAATAAACCTTGGGCCTGCTCCAAGCTCATCTGGCCACGGCTCGCTGCAGAAAGCAGCAGCACTTGGAGCCTGTGACACCCCTGGCTGAGCTCAGCGTTTGCTGCTGGGAGCTGTGAGGGTGAAAACTTCACCCCACACCCTCTGGAGAGCCCCAGGGACACTTCCCACTGTCCCAGGGTGCTCCCAGCACCATCCAGCCTGGTCTTGGGCACTTCCAGGGATCCAGGGGCAGCCGCAGCTGCTCTSTGCCAGGGCCTCYCCACTCCTRCAAGGAAAGATTTCTTCCCAYYATCCCATCTAAACCCCTGGGGAAGCCATTTCCCTTATCCTGGCCCTTGTCCCCAGCTCCTTTAGGCACTGGAAGGGGCWCTAAGCTCCCCCTGGAGCCGTCTCTTCCCCAGGCTGAACAATCCCAACTCCCGTTAAGTTCTCTGCTGCCAGACACAGCCCGTGCTCCCTTCACAGCCATTCCCTCACAAACTAAGATTTTCCCTGAACTCAGATAATCTCTTTGGCACCAGAAGAATCTTCTCGAGCAGCTGTTCCAGGGCAGCAAGCTCAGAGGAAGGACGCAGCCTTACAGTGGAACCAGCAGCGCTCTCACTCCCTGCCACGAGCTGGACTGGTTTCTCCAGTGACCTTACAACCACTGGACAATGAGCTGTTCCAGCAACTCCTCTTCTTCCTGGCAGATGGAATTGCTGGTGGAATTTATCTGCCTACTCGTGGAAATAAATAAGCAGGAGCTTATTTCCTGGGAAAAGGGCTCTTTTCAGCCTGCCAGGCAGGCAGGGAGGAGCTGGAATGGGGTCTGTGTCACCCCTGTCTTGTTTGTGATCCCCCACAGTCCCACCCTTTCCAGCAGGAGACTCCACCACATTTTCCTGGAGGCTGAGGGAGGTTCCCAAGCCCCTCACCCCAACCAAGCCCTGACAAACCAGCAGCTCTCACCAGGATGAGCTGCTGAGTGCTCCCACTGCTCCATCCCACAGCCAGGGGATCAATCTGTCCCCATCAGTTCTGCCAGGAAGGGCACAAAGGTCACACCAAATTGGGCTTCCATTGATGCAGCTGCCAGAAATCACAGTTAAATGACAACATTGCTGAGATTTCTGTCAGAACCCTGGATTTACCCCATCTCAAAGGATACCAGCACAGACCGGATTGGAACAGCCCAAGGAAATCAGTTTTCCCTGCGATTGTTCAACCTTTCAAACACCGCTGACTCCTGCTGCAATTTCCATCTGCAGAGAACTTTCCTAGGCCCCCTTTCCAAATGTGATGTCAAAGGGCTCTGGAATATCAGCCGGGAGGTGACTCCACATCCGCTTGTGGCTCGGGAGCTTCAGGGCTGATCTGTGCCTGGAATCACCACCTGGAATCTGGATCCCCCTGGAGATTCTGGCTTTGCCTCTCTTCTGGACACAGAGATCATCAGTGATTTAAAAATGCTTTGAGATCCCAGCCAGGGAACACAGAAACTGGGAATATGAAAGCTTGGGAACTCACTCTAATCAGCTTAATTAAAGAGCTGCGCTGAGCCGGGAAGTTTCTGTTCCGTTCAGGATTTTAACACTTCAGTGTGAAGTGGAACAAAATGCCCCAAATTTCAACATCAGGGAAAACAAGCACAAAAATTTCCCTGCAAATCCACTGGAATGTTTCGTTTCAATTTCAGCTGAGGAAACACATGCCCTTTAAACCCTTAAAAAAAAAATCCCCAAACCAACCAAATTTGAAATATCTTATTTCAACACCAGAAGAATGCAGCTCCCCAGCCAGATCCCTGGGCTCGGGGTAGAAGCCTCAGAGCTGGTTTTGTGCCCCTAAAAGAGGGAAAAGCATCGTGATCCAGCTCTGGATCTAATTGGAGCCCAAGCCAGCACCTCGTGCCCGCTGCAGCAGGTTGGATCAGGCCCTTGGAGAAGGCACAAAACGCCTCTCCCTCCTCTGGCCAGCCTGCATTTTGTGTCTGATCCAGAACTAATGGATTTGGCACGCATTCCTCGCTGCTGGCTTTTATCTGCTCTCCCTTTCAGCTGGGAATTGTGCTACCAAGCTCCTGTCACCCAGAGGGTGTTAAGTGACTCCAAGAGGGACAAAGGCCCGCAGAGCTGCCAGATTGCCTCTCTCCAGAAGCTGGAAGGCAGAGCAGAGGCTTTTTCTCCTTCCTAAAAGACTGCAAGCTTCTGGCTACGGATCCACCTTTATTTAGGATTTATATAATCCCAACTAGACTTCGAGCAACAACAAAACTTTAAACGGTGGAAGGGGATACAAAGAAAACAGGCTTGGTGTTTAAAATAACCATTTTCCAGAGGAAGAAAGAACCTAAAATGGGATTTCAGTTCTTCCCTTACAGCTGTTCTTAAAACCTGACAGTTTAATTCAAGGGGCACCACAATGTTGCTTTCTGATAACATAGAAAAACATCCAGTGCTACCCGAAAACAAAAGGAGAAGTTGATTTCCAAGTATTCTAACAGCTAAGAAAGGGAAAACAGGCCATTTTCACTGCAGAACAGTCACTCTGAAGCTGAACAAGCAAAGTAACTCTTCAGAGAATAAAAATGTGTTTAGTTTGAAAAGTTTCCCAGTGCTGAGGACAAGGGCAGGATCCCTGGGGAGGGATTTCTCAGCTGGCTGTGCTCCAGAAGCTGCTGGCGACTCTGCAGCCAAAAAAAAAACCCTTCCAGCACCCCAAACCTTCCTCCCCCACAAACTCCGTTCAGGTCTCACCTTCTGAAGGTCTTTCTTCAGCTGCTGCAATTCTCACACGGGGTTATTTCAAAGCTCTCATCACTGGGGAAAACAAGAGTGTCCAACCTTCAGGAGATCCTTTATGTGAAATCAGGAATTTTGGGACGCTGTCCATGTGTGGGGAAGGCTGGAGCTGACACGTATGGGAAGTGCTGTCCCAAATCCAACAACCTCCTTCTTGGAGTTACCAGTTCCACTTCTTTTAGTCAAAACCCACTGTCACTGCCCAAAAAATCAGCCCTCAGTTTTCACCAGCAAATCCATGAGTCTTGCTCACTTCCCTTGTCCAAATTTTCCCTTTTTCCCCTTAACCCCACATTCCCAAGCTTCCCCTGGGCCAGGCAGAGCCGTGTCATCCCTCATCACTGCACTCAAAGCAGTTTGCAGGGCATTAACCCCAGCTCTGAGTGTTCAGAATTGATCTGCTGCTTCCCAGTTCCAGTGCTCAGCTCCCCAAATTGTCCATCCCCAGGGACCAATTTGCCACCGAAATAATCCATTTGTCGCCGCAGGATTTGAAACCAAGGCTCCACTTTTGCAGCCAGAGCCTGGAAATGCAGCCGGAGTTTTTTTTTTTCCACGATTATTTGTTCCATCCATTTCGGAAGCTTCTCTTAGCAGAGGGTGGGAGGATAACAGAGCCTCAGGGGCAGAGAAGGGAGGCTTGAGAGGCTCAGCTAATTGCAAATTAAAGGCAAGAAAGAAATTCCTCGGACTCTTAGCCTGGCAAGATATTAAGCTTTTAGCGTTCAGCATAATAAATATAAAGAAAGGAACATCAGAGCCCTAAACTCTGGCATTCCTTCGGCATTTCTGTCTCTCTGCTGGAGGAGAGAAGCCACCACCAGACCAGTTTGGCTGCTGCAGGTCCCTGAGTGGGCAGGAAATCCCTCCAGCCCCGCTCCTGCCCCAGTTTCCAAACTGTTCCCAAACTGGGAAGGTTCAGGACAGCACTCAGGATGGTTTTTAAGGGCAGATGAGGTCACTTTGTGCCCTAAATGGGTTCGGGGGGGGGGGCTGCAGGCACCATCCCCACCCTGCTCCCCCCAGCCTCTGCACTGCTCTGTGTGGGCCAGGACATTGATCCATGGTAAAAATAATTCCGGGAAAACAAACCAAGTTATTTTTAACCCAAGTCAGTCCCATGATCCAGGAGGCCAATCTGGGAGTGTCCCACAGCAAGGTGGTGCTCCCTTGGCTCACAGGTGAAACCACAGACTGCATTTTTCTGAGAAATTATTTTATTTTTCTTCATTAGTTCTTCACCTCACAACTTTGAAATCTGTACATTTTTAGGACAGACATTGATTTAAAACTCCTCCTATTTCCCACCTGTAAAACTACTCTTCTAATTTAAATTTCTAGCAGAAGCTTTGTCACATTAAACCCTGATTATTTATTATCTGCTCCGTGTCCTTTTATTCTAAACAGACACTCCATGAACTCGTTTCCCAGTGCCAAGCTGACCTCCAGGATCTGTGTCCTGAGATTATTGCAGGGAGAAAGGAGGGTTTGCTGTGCTGGGAGGGTGACAAAACCCCGGGGCTGCTCAGGGCAGGGTGGTTTGTCCCAAGCAGATTCCGGGGGCAAAGCAGCTTCCAAAACACAGCTGTGAAGGAGAAAAGGAGAAAAGGAGAAAAGGAGAAAAGGAGAAAAGGAGAAAAGGAGAAAAGGAGAAAAGGAGAAAAGGAGAAAAGGAGAAAGCAGCAGGCAGGGGACAGGAGGAGATAACCAGAGCACTCCCAGGGCTGGGCAGGGCTCAGCTCTGATCCTGTGGGAACTCTTCCTCAGCAGCACAAAACCCCACAAAGTGTCGGTGCCTCACTGGGTTTGAGGGCTGACAGGATTTCCAGGCAGCTGCAGCCTGGACTCCCTCCTCTGGTGGGATTTTTGCAGTGAACACAAAATCAGCTCCTCTGACAGCTCTGGGTCACACAATTGTGGAATCAAAGTCATTAAGGTTGGAAAAGACCTTTGAGATCATCGAGTTCAACCCTCAGCTTAGTGCCACCACCATGGTCACCTCTACCATGCCCTCGATGCCACACCCTCATGGTTTTCAACACTTCCAGGGATGGGGCTTCCACCACCACCCTTTCCATGAGGAAAACTCCCTAATACTCAATTTAAACCTCCCCTGGCACAATTCTCCTCCTGTCCCTGTTCTCTGGGAACAGAGCCCGACCCCCTCCTGTCAGGAGTTGTGCAAAGCCACAAGGTCCCCCCTGAGTCCCTTTCCAAGCTCCCTCAGCCTCTCCTGGGGTTCCAGACCCTTCCCCAGCTCCATTCCCTTCTCTGGACATGGAGAAGCACTAAAGCAGAGGCAGAGCAGCCCCAGCACATGGGGAGTTACTGGTTTTATCTGGTGTCCTGTGCTGACCCACCCAGAGCTGCTCCCAGCCCTCCCCTCCCCTCCAAGGGAGTGCCAGCCCCATCTCCCGAGCCTGGAGCTGTGTCCAAACAAGGAGCAATGCTATGGATGAGCTGGAAGTGCCAGGACACACTCAAAGGACAACTGGGAACATCCTAAAGCAGCGAAGAAATGTGGGCTGTAAACAAATGCCACTTGCAGATGTGCAGGGATCTGTGAAATGCTGGCTGGGATTTTGGGAGGGGAAACAGAGCTGACTCAGTGCTGTCCTTGCTCCAATCCCATGGGATTCTCCAGCCTGTGAGACACGCTGGGAATCACCAGGAAGGGAGGGAGTACAGGTAGCATGAACCGTGGGAATGGGGAGAATGGGAGTGTTTGGGATTACAGGGAGGGCAGGAACAGCAGCTCAGAGCTCAGAGCAGGTGGGAGCACTGCTGGCACCGAAGCAGAGCTCTCCAGCAGCTCCAAGCTTTGCTTGGGGAGGAAGCTGAGCTGTTTGCAGGTACAGAGCACCTGGATTGACCTAAGGCAGCACAGACAGGGCGTGTGGGCTGTGGGAAACACTGCAGGGGTGCAAGGGTCGCTCTTGGGGCTAATGGGGAATCATGGSATGGTTTGGGTGGGAAGGGACCTGAAAGATTAACCAGTGCCACCCCWGYCAYGGCAGGGACACCTTCCACTGTTCCAGGGTGCTCCAGGCTCTGCCCAGGGATCCAGGGGCASCCACAGCTTCTCTGTGCCAGGGCCTCCCCACCCTCACAGGGAGGAATCCCTTCCCCATATCTGACATGAATTCCCCTTTCAGTCTGAACCCAAACAGGCCCAGGGCTCCTTCCAGCTGCAGCCCTGGCTTTGCTCAGGACAGGTTTATCAGACAGGGAAGGGTGTGGAGCAGGCTCCAAGCAGAGCAGGAATCTGCCCTGTGAACAGAGCAAAGGCTCTGTGCTCCCCAGGAACTCTGGCTAAAGGACAGCTACGCCCAGGCTGGGGAGAGTTTGCACCAGGAGAATTCCTCAGAGAGCTGTGCTGCAAACAGGGTCAGGAGTTAAGGGCTGATGTAAAGGGGCATTTCTGAGCCTGCCCTGGGCTGGGCCCAGAGCATGAGATGGGAAACGTGACTGGGAACAGCTTCAGACTTTTGGAAATTAAAGAAACCCCCGCCATGAAGACCTGATCTCCAGCTCCTCACGAGCCTCCTGCACACCAACAATGAGGCAACAGAATACTGCAATGGTTTGGGTTGGAAGGGACCTTAAAAATCACCCAGTTCCAACTCTGACATCTTCCACTGTTCCCAGGGTGCTCAAAGCCCTGTCCAGCCTGGCCTTGGGCACTGCCAGGGATCCAGGGGCAGCCACAGCTTCTCTGGGCACCCTGTGCCAGGGCCTCACCAGTCCTACAAGGAACAATTCCTTCCCACTRTCCCATCTAAYCCTGCCCTCTGGCAGTGGGAATCCATTGCCCCTTGTCCTGGCACTCTGGCCTTTTCCAGGCACAGGCAGGGGCTGTAACACTGATCTAATACTGAACCCTAAACCACAACCCAGGGAATGTTCACAGCTACACACAGAATGAGGTCAGGGTGCTCTCCCCAGATCCAACCCCTTGGGAACAGGAGGGATCCCCTGTTTGCACCCAGAGCTCACCAATTTAGGGAGAAAGCAAAAACAAGTTGATGTCCAGAGTTCACAATGGAAAGCAAATGTTAAAACAACAAGTTACAGGCAAACAAAACATGGGCAGTTTGGGCAGGGCTCTCTGGCAGCTCTGAGTTTCCTGAGCTGTCCCATGGCTCCTTTTGGGGCACCCGAGTGAGAAGGATGGGGGGAAGGAGCAGAAGTGACCCAAGAGCTGTGCCCAGAGCTTTCAGAGCTGAAACAATCCCCACTGGAGTTACCATTTAGGGAAACAACTGGAAGAAGAGAGGAGTAGAGGCTAAACCCTGAGCACGAGCAATATAAACACTGGCCCTTTTGGAAGAGCAAGGGATGATATCATGCACACATCACACCCTTCCTGTGTAAACAGGAGTGCCAACGGGAGCACACACGCTTTGCAAATGGGATGTCCTGGGCTGTTCTGGGCTCTCTGGGTACCTCTGGAGGGTCTCAGTGAGGCCAAGAGCATTTCTGAGGAGCAGACTCTGGAGCTTTCAGGCACTTCCCAAGCTTCTCACAGCCTGGAGGGGACCAGTTCTGTTAAAAACAAACAAAAGCAGACAGAAAGATGATTCACAGCAACTATCTGCTAAGCTCTCACCCCACCAGCTCTTCATGGTGCTCACAAAGACACTTTTATGTCCTGCTTGAAAAATGAAACTCTTCTTGGAGCTGAAGCCTCCAGGCTCATAAACTTCCCCACTCCAAACACTGCTCAAATAAAAGCTCTAAGAGAGGCTACAAATCCTCTGCAGCTCAGGATTCCCTCTCAAGTCCTTCCTGGCCTTTCCCAGTGCACTTTGCTGGGATGATGGTGATGATGGTGACCCTCCTCTCTCCCCTGCAGCAGCACAGAGAAACCAGGTCAGGTTTTGGTGACATCCCCATTTTCCTGGGATTCCAGAATAGTTCCCATTCTCCAGCACTTTGTGAGGAAGGAGAAGGCAGCAGAAGGCCAAGGGTGTGAGAGAGATAAGAATGCTGGTATTTTAATGAGCATTTTGATGGATGAATCCATGAGCAGATGGAGCAGAGCATTCCTGAGACACCTTTTCCAGTGCCTGCACACCAAAACTGTTTGTTTTCCTCGTTTCCATGTTTCTTGAGCTACCTCAATGTGTGCAACAGAGAAAGGACAGCACAAAGGAGATCCAGTGCCACCCTCAGCTTCCAGAGGGATTCAGGGAGGAAGGAATTTCAATAAATAAACTCCTTAAATTTCACTGGGGTTTTGCCATTTAAAATTAGGGATTGTGGTCATGGGAAGGGCAGGTAACAATTCCCATTCTGCCTTCAGAAATCTTCTGTGCTCACTGTCTGTCCCTCCCTCTCTCATGTCTGTCCATCCACAGGAATGTCCTGCTGTCCCCTATTAAAGGCCAGCTCAACRCTGACCTCTTGCCTTCAGTTTTGCTGATTTTCACCCTGCCAGTTTTTCTATTTTTTTGGAATTAAATTCCTAAGGAAAAGAAAAGCTTAACTGCAGGAAAAAAAAAACCACTGGAGCAGGTTTTCATTCCATGGAGCTGACAACAGATGGCAGTGAGACACCAGATATTTGTGCAGAGGAGCAGACAGAGAGGGAGCTGTGCTGGAAGAACAGTGATCCTCAGGCCTGCAGAACAATTAATCTGTTCCCTAAATCTGTTTCTCAGGTTTAAAATGTGCAACCACGGCTGGAGAATTCCCACCCCTCTGCAGAAGGAACTGAGAGCCAAAGGAACACATGAAATGTGGGAAAAGGGAACAAAAAATGGTTTGTGCTGCAGTTGCACAGTCCCAGTCCCATTGCTGGTCYATACTGGGAGCACTGGGGACACCACAGCTCTGAGCCAGGCATCCCCCAAAGACAGATTTGGGCTCCAGTTCACCCCAGCAATACAATCACTCCCAAAAGATTTGCTTTTCTTCATTTCTGGTCTCAATTTGGTGCCTGATATTTTAGTGTAGTGACCATGGAATGATCCTGTGAGCAGTGTACACAGATTGGAAACTCTCCAAGGTTTCCTGCTGGGATTGAAATGTTTCTCCTGGGATTAGGATCCCCCAGCTCACTTTCTGCCTCTGATGGCCTTCAATTTGTGAAGCAGTTTTGGACAAAATGCCTTTGCAGTGCAGGGCTGTGGCAGCACAGAGATCACAAAGATCCCAGAGGAGCACAGAACAGGGTTCATGAAGGGAAAAGTTGAATAAGGAAAGAAAACAACACAGAAACAATGGGCCTTCAAATCTTTTTCCTATTTAACGTCCAAAAATAAAGAGATGGGACAAAGCTAAGAAAGATCTTTGCCTTGTTACTGAGGGGACAGAGCTCCACATTTTGTTCTTTGCTGGTGACAGACCAGAGGCAGCAGGCTCTGACTGATTCACAGGATGATTTCTGCAGCAGGAAGATCCTGCCTGTTACTATTCTGTGTCAGCCCACAGACACATTCCCTCAGACTACACAACCTCCTGTCAACTGACAGCCTCCCCCAGATTATCCAGTTTCTCTCCCAGGTTCTCAACAAACCAAGCAGTGTTTGACAGGGAAGCCAAACTGTAACTTTCCAACAGGAGACTCGAAAGAGAAAACAGGACTGAAAATGTTTCAAGTTGTAAATACTTTGGAAAATTTGGGATTGGAGGAGATAGAGCAAGACCAAAGATACATCATTGAAAAAGAGGCAGTGTCCCTTTGAGGAATTAAACGAAAGAGGGCAGGGTTAGATGGATTTTGGGAAGGAATTSTTCCCTGTGAGGGTGGGGASGCCCTGGCACAGGGTGCCCAGAGCAGCTGTGGCTGCCCCTGGATCTCTGGCAGTGCCCAAGGATGAACTGGACAGGGTTTGGAGCACCCTGGGACAGTGGAAGGTGACCCTGCCCATGGCAGGGGGTAGGGCTGGATGAGTTTTAAGGTCCCTTCCCACCCAGAGCATCCCAGAATTCATGACTGTGTGATTTTGAGAACTGCAGCAGGGGATTAGAAAGGAGAAGGCTCTGCCCTGTCTCTGAGGAAGGAAACCACAGGTGCCCGTGCATCGCTCCTCCATCCCTTCTCCATCCCTTCTCCATCCCTTCCCAGCAGTGACATTTCATGAAACTTTGCCAAACTCCATTTGAATGCAAGGATTCCAGCGTGTCTCACCATGACTGCCCGGTCACACACGTTCAGCTGGGGCTGGCCTGGCACCAGGGTGTCCTTGTGCTGCTGCAGCAGTGCTGAGATTGTCCCCATGGCTCGCTGGTATTCCTCACTGGCAAAACTGCAATGGGGAGAGAAGAGCGTTACTGCTGGGACTTTATTTGGGACCCACATCACCAGGATGGGCCAGAGGATTGTCCCTGGGCCATGAGGAGGGAGGAGATGTGCAAACACCCTGCCCTGAAGGGAATGAATCCAGGCTGGCAAGGTGCAGGTGCTCTGCTCATCCTCCCCAGAAATGCCCTGATCCTGGCATTTCAGATCAGCTCAAACTGCTGCTCCAGAGGCCCCAAATGTCTCCTCGTGGTACAGATCTGCTGCGAGCTCACGTGGATTTCTAATCTTAGCAAACAAAAGTGCATTTCTGGGCTGTCCAGGAGCTGTCCCTTCAATAATTATCCCGGAAACTTCCCAGACACCAAACAAACATTTTTCCAGAACTGTCCCAAGACCACCCTTCCAGCAGGTCCCACCTGAGGTCCCCCAGCTCCCCACACTCATCCCACCCCRTTCCAATGTTCTCCTGGMACACCTGCCCCGGGYGGAGGCGTTTGTTGTAGGCAAGCASAGGGAATGTCAATATTTTGTTTWAYAAGAGCGTTCTCAGGAAGGGTTTCAAACACAACCCTGGGCCAGTTCAACTCCACAGTCACCAAGGAAATGAACTAAAATTATGCAAACAGAAAGGAGAAGAATAGAAGGGCCTTGTCCAAGACAAGAATACCTCCCCATTCCACAACATCCCGAGGTTCTGCCCCATCCACATTCTTCCACTACAGCCTGATTATTCCAAGCTGGGACCCATCTGCCGTGCCTGAAATGTGGTTATAAATCACCAGATTCGGATCCACCCGTTTCCTCCAGCAGGTACTGGTTGCAGTGGCTCAGGGTGCACTTCTCTAACACCTCCAGAATTACTAAAATGCAGGATTCCTAACAATGATCTCACTTTGTCCATCACATTAAGAATCATTTTTAAAAAAAAAAACACCAAAAACCCTGCAGAGAGCGGCAAATTCCTTCTGAAGATAAAAGAAACAATGCAGCTGAGTCCTGACCTCGGGCTCCCTGTGCTCCCAGGCCAAGCTGGCCACCAGCCCCACTCTCCAGCTAATTTCCTTCTTTGCAAAACAATCACATTTCGAAGGCCAGCAATGTGCCAAGAGTTTCCAGTAAACCCTATAAATATCCCAGCTYGGCAGGCAGCCAGGGAGAGGCTGATTGTGGGGCTGGGCCTGAGCTGTGCTGATAGAGAGCCGGAAGGGAACGTGGGATGAGGAGCTGGAGCAAATGGAGCTGCTGCTCTCACAGGCAGCAGGAGAGAGCTGGCAGACCACCCTGAAATCCAGAGTATCCTGAGGAGCTCCTAAATTTCACAGAATTGGACAACGCTGCAATGGTTTGGGTCAGAGGGGGTTTAAATCTCATCCAGCTCAACMCTCTGCCATGGGYAGRGACAAATTYCACCATCCCAGGMTGYTCCAAGCCCYRTCCAGCCTGGCCTTGGRCACTGCCAGGTGCTCTGGGCACCMTGTGCCAGGGCCTSYYCAYYCTCACAGGAASRAATTCCTTCCCAATATCCCAWTTTCCCATTATCCCATCTAACCCCRCWCYCCAWGGATTTCAGTTTTCTTTTCCTGACCCCATGGAGATCCCCTTTCCACAGGGGTTGGTTTTCCTGCCTTGGCTCCATGGAGATTCCTGGCTCTGATAAACTCAGCTTTTTCTCAGATATTCCTGTTCAGCTCCACAATACCCCCAAATCCCACATCCATGGATTTGTGAAGTATTTACTGACTGCACAGGAGTTAAAGTGCATTTTGAGACAAAATCTGCAAGAGTGCCTGGAATTTGCATGTAAAACGGGGCTAATTACCTCATGGTAATCAGTCTGAGTTTTAAGGGAGCTGGGAATCTCTCCTACCTGCAGTCCCTGGAATGMACACACAGGCCAGGGCTGCCAGGCCAGGTTTGCAGCATTCCCTGCTCCAAAAAGGGATGGATTTCTCCGTACAGGTGTTTGAGCATTGTGTGTGAGCTGCATTTCCTACTGCAGCTCACCCTAGAGCAAAGGAGAGCTGGGAACAGCCCTGCAACAAGCAGAGGGTGAGCAGCTGCTGTGTGAGGAGCTGCCTCAAACAGATCCCTCGGCGTCCATGAAATTATTCTGTGCTCAGAAAGAGAGAGCAGAGTGGACAAAGTCCAGGGTCATTACACTAATTGACACTTTACCTCCGGGAAGTCCCTGGAGATGCAATCAGGGCTGGATGGGAGCTCAGGGTCCCAGGCACAGGTGTGGGCTGTGTTTCCTTCATTTGCCCTAATTGTACCGCTGCAATCTGCTCCAGCATCCCCCGGCAGCTCCGGGGAACCGCGCTGGGTTTAACCCCAGAGTGCCCTCCGAGCTGCGGGCTTTGTCTCACACCAACTCTGCTGCCATCCTGGGGCTCTCACCCTGGTGATTCTCTGCCATCAATAAAGGTACCTTCAAATAAACCAGCACACAAACAAATCCTGCATTTCAGTGGGATTTTGAGATGTTTTACACCCTGGAAAAAAATGGGAATTATATATTTTATATAGAGGATTCATGGAAACCTGAATTCCATTCTGCGCTCCTCGGGCTCTCACCCTGGGCAGCGAGGAGGGCACGATTCTCTAAAAGCACCCTCAAATAAATCAGCACCCCAACAAATCCAGGAGCATTTTCAGTGGGATTTCGAGATGTTTTACACCCTGGAAAAAAAATGGGAATTATATATTTTATATAGAGGATTCATGGAAACCTGAATTCCATTCTGCGCTCATGGGGCTTTCACCCTGGCGATTCTCTGCCATCAATAAAGGTACTCTCAAATAAATCAGCACCCAAATAAATCCAGGAGCATTTTCAGTGGGATTCCCAGATGTTTTACACCCTGGAAAAAAATGGGAATTATATATTTTATATAGGGGAT